TGTTTAATCCATATTATCTTTATTAATTTTCTGTTTGTGAGGATCTGTCTCGTGCCGTCAGTGGGTGTTGAAATCTCCGGCGATTATGGAGTTGCTATTAATCCATTTGCTTAGCTCCAGTAAGGTTTGCTTTATGAATCTGGGTGCACTAAGTTGGGTGATATATATTATTTAAATGTCTCACAGAGATAGAGCAGAGAAACAAGAGAAAAGAGCAAAGCCTACAAGAGATGTGGGATTATGTGAAGAAACCTAATGTGAGGGTCATAGGGTTACCAGAAGGGGAAGAAGACAATACTCAAGGGTTGGACAAGCTATTTGAAGATATAATAGAGGAAAATTTCCCAGGCCTTGATGAAAATCTCCAGATACAAGTTGAAGAAGTTCAAAGGATCCCTGGGATATTCAATGCAAACATGAAGATGTCACGACATGCAGTCACCAGACTGACCAAAATATCAACTAAAGAGACCCTTCTAAGAGCTATAAGATGAAAGAAACAAGTAATATACAAAGGAAAGCCAACTCGAACAACACCAGACTTCTCTACTGAGACTTTACAAGCAAGGAGAGACTCTACCTCCATTCTCACTCTTCTGAAACAGAACAATTCCCAGCCTAGAATCTTATTCCTTGCAAAACTAAGTTTTGTATACGAAGGAGAAACCAAGACATTCGCAGATAAGCAAACACTGAGGGAATTCACCAAGTCAAGACCAGCCCTTCAAGAAGTACTCAAAACAGTGTTACCCAAGGATCAGCACAATAAACAAACATGAACGTAAATCTACTCAAAGCTAAAGATCGAAGCCCAGATACCACGATGGCTAAAGAGAGAAAACAAAGCCACAAAGTTCAACCCAACACAATGGACAGAAATCTGCCCCACCTATCAGTTATCTCAATAAATTTAAATGGCTTGAACTCCCCACTCAAGAGACATAGGCTGGCCGAATGGATAAAAAAACAGAAGCCAAGTATCTGCCGCCTTCAGGAAACACATCTAACCTGCAAGGATGTATATAGACTAAAGGTAAAGGGGTGTAGAACAATATTTCAAGCAAACGGAAGCCAAAAGGAAGCTAGCATGGCAGTGGTGATTACAGATAACTTAGTTTTTAAATCAACAAAGGTAATAAAAGACAAAGAAGTTCACTATATAATGGTGAAGGGTACAGTTCAACAAGAAGACATAACAATTCTAAATATATATGCACCCAAACCAGGTGCACTCAGATTCATAAATCAAACTCTACTTGATCTAAACAAATGGATAAACAATACCACCATAATAGTCGGAGATTTTAACACCTCACTGACAGTACAGGACAGATCCTCCAAACAGAAAATCAACAAAGAAATAATGGACTTAAGCGGATCTCTAGAACAAATGGGCCTGGCTGACATTTACAGGACATTCTATCATTAAACCACTGAATATACGTTCTTCTCATCAGCTCATGGGACATTCTTTAAGATTGACCATATCCTAGGACACAAAGCATGTCTCAAACAATTTAAAAAAAATAGAAATCACACCATGTATCTTTTCAGAGCACAATGGAATAAAAGTAGAAATCAACCCTAACAGGAACCCTCATTTCTACACAAAGTCATGGAAACTAAACAACCTTCAGCTGAATGATCACTTCATGAATGAGGAAATCAAGATGGAAATCAAATGATTCTTTGAACTAAATGACAAAGGAGACACAAGTTATCAAAACCTGTGGTACACAGCTAAAGCAGTCCTGAGAGGAAAGTTTATTTCATTAAATGCTTATATCCAAAAGTCTAAAAGATTACAAATAAACAACCTAATGTTTCATCTCCAAGAGCTAGATAAAGAAGAACAGAGCAACCCCAAACCCAGCAGAAGAAGTGAAATCATTAAGATCAAATCAGAACTAAACAAAATTTACAACAGGGAAACCATACAGAAGATTAACAAAACAAAAAGTTGGTTCTTTGAAAACAATAAAAAAATTGACACACGTTTGGCTAGACTAACGAAAAGCAGAAAATAAAAATCTCTAATTAGCTCCATCAGGAAAATAAAGGAGAAATTACAACAGATGCCACAGAAATACAAGATATAATTTATGAATACTACAAAAACCTCTATGCACACAAACTGGAAAATGTGGAGGAAATGGACAACTTCTTAGAAACACACAGCTTCCCTAGGCTCAACAAGGAAGAAATAGAATTCTTGAACAGACAAATATCAAGTACTGAAATTGAAACAGCAATAAAAATCCTTCCAAGAAATAAAAGTCCCAGACCAGATGGTTTTACACATGGGAATTTTACCACACCTACAAAGAATAACTGGTGCATATCTTCCAGAAATTATTCCGCAACATCCAGTAGGATGGAAACCTCCCCAACACAGTTGATGAAGTGAATATATCCCTGATACCAAAACCAGGAAAGGATGCAACAAAACAAGGAAACTACACACCAATATCCCTTATGAATATGGATGCAAAATTTCTCAACAAAATCCTAGCCAATCAAATCCAGGTGCTTGTCAAGAAAATAATCCATCACAACCATGTGGGCTTCATCCCAGGGATGTAGAGATGGTTCAACATACACAAATCTATAAATGTAATTTACCATATAAACAGAAGCAAAAACAAAGGCCATATGATCCTCTCAACAGATGCAGAAAAACATTGGACAAAATTCAACACCCTTTTATTATAAGAACTCTCAACAAAATAGGCATAGATGGGGCTTACCTAAAAATGATACAAGCCATATATGACAAACCCACAGCCAATATAATACTGAATGGAGAAAAATTGAAAGCATTCCCACTTAGAACTGGAACGAGACAAGGTTGCCAACTATCTCCACTTATATTCAGCATAGTGCTGGAAGTCCATGCTACAGCAATCAGACAAGAGAGAGGAATTAAGGGCGTCCAAATGGGAGCACAAGAGATCAAATTCTCACTCTTTGCTGATGACATATTATACCTAGAAAACCCCAAGGATTCAACCAAGAGATTCCTTGAATTGATAAATGAATTTGGCAAAGTCTCAGGATACAAAATCAATACACAGAAATCAGAGGCATTAATATATGCCAACTACAGTACAAGAGAAAACCAAATCAAAGACTCAATTCCCTTCAAAATAGCATCAAAGAAAATAAAGTACCTAGGAATATATTTAACTAAGGAGGTAAAAGACCTCTACAGAGAGAACTATGAAACACTGAAGAAGGAAATAGCAGAGGATATAAACAGATGGAAGAATATACCATGCTCATGGGTCGGCAGAATCAATATTGTTAAAATGTCTACACTACCCAAAGTGACCTACAGAGTCAATGCAATCCCTATCAAAATATCATCATCATTTTTCACAGAAAATATAGAAAAAAAAAAGTTTACACTTCGTATGGAACCAGATAAGACCCCGTATAGCAAAATCAATCCTAGGCAACAAAAACAAAATGGGAGGTATCAATTTACCAGACTTCAAACTATACTACATGGCTATAGTAATTAAAACACCTTGTGATTGGCACAAGAACAGGGACATTGACCAGTGGAACAGAACAGAGAACCCAGATATAAAACCATCCTCATATAGCTAACTAATCTTCGCCAAAGCAGACAAAAACATATGCTGGGGGAAAGAATCCTTATTCAATAAATAGTACTGGGAACACTGGATAGCCACATGCAGAAGACTGAAATAGGACTCACACCTTTCACCTCTCACAAAAATCAACTCACGCTGGGTAACAGACTTGAACCTTAGGTGTGAAACTATTAGAATCCTAGAGGAAAACGTTGGAAATATCCTTCTAGACATTGGTCTAGGCAAATAATTTATGAAGAAGACCCCAAGGGTAATCACAGCAGCAACAAAAATAAATAAATGGGACCTGATCAAATTAAAAAGCTTCTTCACAGCCAAAGAACTGTCAAGAGAGCAAAAAGACAACCCACAGAATGGGACAAAATTTTTGCAAGCTACACACCCAATTAAGGGCTGATAACTAGAATCTATTTAGAACTCAGGAAAATCAGCAAGAAAAAAATCAAACAACCCTATCAAAAATTGGGCAAAGGAGATGAACAGAAATTTTTGAAAAGAAGACAGAATAAAGGCCAACAAACATATGAAAAAATGCTCAACATCTCTAATCATCAGAGAAATGCTAATCAAAACTGCAATGAGATATCACTATCTCCAGTGAGAATGGCCTTTATCAAAAAGTCCCCAAACAATAAATGTTCACATGGATGCAGAGAGATAGGAACACTCCTACACTGCTGGTGGGACTCTAAACTGGTTCAGCCTCTGTGGAAAAGAATATGGAGATACCTTAAAGCGTTACAAATGGATCTACCATTTCATCCAGCAATTCCAACAATCTACCCAAAAGATCAAATGACACTCTACAAATGGCACACCTGCACTCGAATGTTTATAGCAGCACAGTTCACAATTGCAAAGGTGTGGAAACAACCCAAGTGCCCATCAATTCATGAGTGGATTAATAAAATATGGTATATGTATACCATGGAGTACTATTCAGCTTTAAGAAACAATGGTGATATAGCACCTCATGTATTTTCCTGGATAGAGATGGAACCCATTCTACTAAGTAATATATCTCAAGAATGGAAAAACAAGCACCACATGTACTCACTAGCAAATTGGTATTAATGGATCAACATTTAAGTGGATATGTACGAATAACATTTATTAGGTGTTGGGTGGGTGGGAGCAGGGAGGGGGGCATGGGCAATATACGTAACCTTAACATTTGGACCCCCATAATATGCTGAAATTAAAAAGTAAAAAATAATAAATAAAAATAAATAAATTTTAGTGGGAAAGCTGACTATAAAAAATTAATAAATATGCACTATAATAAAAAAATTAAATCAAAAGCAACATGCGCTAACTAAATAATCAACACCATGGGGACACGGGTCCAAGCTTTAAATCTATGGCTCTCAATGTACATACTTTGAAGGCAGCTGCAGTAGTAGATTCAGCACGCAGAGCTCCCATTCTAGAACTTCTTTGATGGTGAACACTTCTATAAGTAGGTGAAAAGAGAGATAGTAAGAATATCTCACATGCCATTATTAAAAATTTTCTATCATACAATGAAAATAATTCTAAAATAAGAAAATTTATTTTTTTTCTTAGTAGATGATATCATCAATCTTTGAGGTGTCATTTTTCCTACAGAGAAAGTTGTTCTGCAACACATCAAAAGGAAATTACAGAGACCCTCATTAGAATCAAGTTTGCTGCAGGTCTAAATGCTTTTTAACAGTGGTGAGCACAGCAAGATAAAAAAAAAAAGCTAAGGTGTATGAGTAGAATGTTCTTTCTCAATTTTTAAACCAACTGCAATTACAATAAATGCCTTTAGGCAAAATTTAATTTTGTTTCCTGTAATTACAGAAACTCTCCATTCTCAGGTTCATTAACAATGCATTTCTATCAAAATTAGAATTTTGATGCCCAAGGTGAGAATGCAGCTTTGTGGCACACTAGAATCTAAATACTATCTTACTTTTCACCAATTAAATAGGAGTTTGGGAGAGGGAGAAACTAAGAATGAATGATAAACTTATTTTTAATATTGAAAATAGTGTTTTAAGTTTTAAAATTCTTCATAAATGAGAATTTGTTATTAAAATGTGTTTTTTTTAAGTTTTTCTTTTGAAAAGCCCCTTTTACTCCACAAAATGAGAAACTGGAGTTCGATAATAAATATTATAACAAACAAGACCTAGGAGCATCAAGACAATGACAAGATAACTGTGAAAGCTTCTGAATTAAATCAGAAGACACATAATTAATAGGATAACTGGATTATCAGCATGATTTCAAAAAGTGAATGCTGCTGATAAAATGGACAGAAATTTTCCATTCTGTATTTGACAGGACCCAGCCAAAAATCCATTTTTTGTTATCATTCATTTCTAATATTAGAAAATTAACAAGAGCCTGAAAAATATTTATGGATATTAAAAATATATAATACTTAGGAAGTATTAATTTATATAGCATGGAACAACTAGTTAATGAAGTAATTCAGTCATTTGTGTGTATGACTGAACTATAAAATGTCTAATATATATTTCTTACTGATTTTATTTTCAGTGTCAAGTGACTTAGACATAAATGTTGTTATCTGTAAATCAGCACCCACAAAAAAATGGTGGAGGAGAGGTAACTCTCCAGACTTCTGCTCCCAGAGAAGGAGACACAGATCTTGGTCTCCTACGCACGAGAGGATCTCCTAACTACAAGGACAGCATTGAGAATCTGCAGAGGAGCAACGTGGAACTCTCATAAAAGGATAAACAAGGTGAGTGGCAGGACGCTGGTCTGCCGGGCCAGGACGTGAGGTGGGATCAGACCCACAGGAGAACTCCTTGCTTCCCCATTGACCTCCACACCCACCCAGCCAGAGACCTGTCTGAAACTGGTGCAAAATCCAAGGAGAAGAGGGTGCTGGAGGGTGCGGTTGATGCTGGAAGTCAGTGGCATGGTACTCCCTGAGCCCCGTGCTAGGAAGGCTCCAAGACGGGAGGAAACTGATCTGTGCAGACCGAGAAGGCAGTTAGAGGTCTCGCCTCTGGTAACCAGGGAGACTAAGCAGGGGCTCTAAGTTGGAAATGCCCCGGGTGAATAAAGCCACACAGGGCGGGTCAGTAAAAGCGTGGGATCAGACTGAACAGGCAGTTGGGCAGGTAGCCTGGAGGAACCTACCAGGCACCCTATTGACCCAGGCCCCCAACACGACACCAGCTACACCCTAATCAGTCGCCCCCAGTACTGGTGCCCTACGAATGGGCTAGTGATCGCCATTGAGGGGGTCCACAGCCCAGCCATCAGGGGCAAGTCCCCTGCCCCTGCCCAGCCTAGAGTCTGTCTTGGCAAATCCCACCCCTACACAATCTGTGATCGGCTGGTCAGGCCTGGCTCCATCAAGGATCTAATGAGGGGAGTTACAGCCACTGGGGTGCAGGGCGTGCAGGGCAGATTGGGGAGATACCACCTCCCCTCAGCCCACAGCTCTCTTGCCGAAAGTTGTTTCGCTCCACCCCTGGAGGTGGGGCGAAACAAGAAAACCCACCTTCCCCAAAAGCTACCCTGTCAGGGGAACCTTCCAAGTGTGGTGCAAGAGCTTGCCCCAGTGGTTGATCAAGAAACTATAAAAAGTAGACGACTGAGCTCTAGCAATTGACCCAGATGGGGAGGGCCCAACGCAATTCAAAATATCAAGCTCGAAAATACTCCCCATAAGAGATACACCAGCTCTCAAGAGATGGAGTCTGAACAAACCCAAAACACTAAAATGACAGAAGAAGAATTCCAAAATTGCATTGTAAAAAAACTCAATGAAATGCAAGAAAAAATGGATAATAAACACAAAGAAACTACAAAGAAGATACAAGAATTAGAAGAAAGATTCACTAAGGAGATCGACATCTTGAAGAAGAATCAATCAGACATCCTCGATATGAAGAATTTATTCAGGGAAATTCAAAACACAGTGGAAATCCTCAAAAATAGGGTGGACCAAACAGAAGAAAGAATCTCAGACCTGGAAGACAACTCATTCAAATCAAATAAGTTAATCACAGATTTAGAGCAGAAAAATAAGAGACATGAGCAAAGCTTACAAGAATTGTGGGATTATACGAAGAAAAATAACCTGCGGGTCCACTGGATTCTAGAGAAGGAAGAAGAAAAAACCCAAGGGTTGGATAAGCATTTTGAAGACATAATTGAGGAAAACTTCCCAGGTCTAACCAGTAACCTAGAATTAGAAATACAAGAGGCCAAAAGAACTCCTGGGAGATGCAATGCAAACAGGAAAACACAATGCCATGTAGTCATCAGACTGACCAAAATATAAAAAAAAAAAAAGAGACCCTCCTACAAGCTGTTAGATACAGGAAGGAAGTTACATACAAAGGAAAACTGATCCGAATAACTCCAGATTTCTCAACTGAAATAATACAAGCAAGGAGGGAATGGGGACCCACTCTCACTCTTTTAAAACAAAATAACTCCCAGCCTAGAATCTTGTACCCTACAAAACTAACCTTCATATATGAAGGAAAATTAAGACATTCTCAGATAAGCAAAGTCTCAGAGAATTCACTAAGACAAGACCAGTCCTACAAGAAGTACTCAAAACAGTGTTGCACGCGGAACACCATAATAAAAACTCACGAATATAAAAACAACCAAAACCCAAAGATGAAAGGCCAGATATTACAATAGCTCAAGAGAGAACGCAAAGCAACAACATCACACCCAACAGAATGAACAATAATCTACCTTACCTATCAGTTCTCTCAATAAATGTGAATGGCTTAAACTCTCCACTCAGGAGACATAGGCTGGCTGAATGGATAAGAAAATACAGGCAAAGTATATGCTGTCTTCAGGAAACATATCTAACCTGCAAGGATGCATATGGACTAAAAGTAAAAGGGTGGGGATCAGTATTCCAACCAAGTGGAAGCCAAAAGAAGGCTGGTGTGGCAGTTCTAATTTCAGACGATTTAGTTTTAAAACCAACAATACTTGTGACAGACAAAGAGGGTCATTATATAATTGTGAAGGGCACAGTTCAACTAGAAGAGATAACAATTTTAAATATATATGCACCCAACTTAGGTGCACCCAGATTCATAAAGCAAACCTTACTGGATCTAAGCAAATGGATGAATAATATATTACAGTTAGTTAAAAACCAACCAGAATTTCAGAACCTGGACCATAATATGTCTTGCCTCTATTGGGTTTATATTTCATTCTACAGGGCAACCTACAATTACCTTACAGTTAACACTAGTATGTGGTAACCAGATTAGCTGATACATTACACCCACTATACATTTACTTTACTTATCCAAAGTTCACCAATATTCTTGTTCTTTGGCCTGAGTATAGTTCTATAACTTTATATCACATCCTTACATCAAGACAAAAAATGTCAGTAAACCCGGCAAAGCCCGGGCCGGTGCTCCACGCCTTAATCCTAGCTCTCTGGCGCCGAGGCGGCGGATGCTCGGAGGTCAGGATCGAAACCACCGACAAGGAGACCCCGTCTCCACTATCAAATAAACGAATTCATGCCAACATATAAAAAAAAAGCCGGCATGTCGAAGCCTATCCCCAGCTACTTGGGAGCTGAGGCAGCAAGCGATTGCTTTTGAGCCAGGATGACGGCTGGAGCAGGCCCCTCCATGTGTTTGTTGCCCTAGAATTGCTTTTGATATTCGTGGTCTTCTTTGGTGCCATACGCCACGTACCTATTTTCTTAATCCTGTGAAGATGCTGACGGATTGTGAAGGTATTGCATGAATCTGTAGACTTTGGGTATTAGAATTTATGATGTCCGAATCTGCGACCCCGAGCTCGGTATAGGACATTTTCCTCTGTTTTATCCTCTGTATTCCTTCCACAGTTTTTATTCTCCTTGCTCGAGTCTTTTCTCTCCCGCTTAGTTATTAGCTACTTTATTATTTGTTGGCTATTGTGAAGAGAATGAGTTCTTTCATTGTCTCCCAATTTGACTAGATCTATTCTTTTTTTTTTTTTTTCTGCTGTATATAATGCCTCTGATTTTCTGTGTTGATTTTGTATCTGAGACTTACTCAATTCATTGATCAGTTCAGGAGTTTTTGGTTCCATCTTTGCGGGTTTTCTATATAATTCATCCTCAACGCTGACCTTGATCTCTCTCTGCCCCTACTTTGGACTACCTTAATTCCCTTTCGTGTATCATAGCTGTGCAGACTGTCCAGCACTACTGTTATAGAGTGTAGATAGTGGGCCGTCTTGTCTGGTTCCGTTCTATGGGCAAGTTGCATATTTTCTCTGTCATAGATGTTGGACTATGGGGTCTGTATATATGACTTCTACATTAGATCTATCCTTCTATGCAACAAAAAAAAACATATTCCTATTAAGTGTTCATATCTGACAGGGGTGTTGATTTCAAAAGCTTTTTCTGTGTCATTCGAATGAAATCATGGTGGTCTTCTTTTTGCTTCTGTT